CGAGAGCGCCTGAGCGTTGGACAGATCATAAGTTGCCTCCGTTGGGTGCCTCGGTGAGTTGGAGGAATCTTTTGCGCTCTTATGATGATTGAATATGCAGAACTGGACGAGACCAATGTCTTTGTCTTCAACCCTTTTTTCGACTTGTTGGGACTAGGGAGAGTGTGCGAAGTACAGTGCTGATATCGATTGAAGGGATGTGTAGCCTAGCCAGATATGCTCCGAAAACTCTCTCGTTGTGAGGAACAAGGCGCTTTGTGCCCCAGTTCAAACATTAGCTTCCGATATAGTCCTACCCTAGCGCCGGAACGGACAGTCCTGGATGACATGCCAGACTTTCAGCCAGCCTAAAAAGACAATCTCTTGCCCCAAATCCACATCCATATCAGGAAGCTTCGCTGGTTGCCCCGTTGGGTGGCATCAAGTGGCCAACACACAAAACACGTGGAGCGAATTGAGCAATCGTGGAACAATTCATGCATATCCCAGCGCAATGATCAGCGGTGGCATTTCTGGATGCACGCCCCTCGTCGTGGATTCATGCATATGATTTTTGCTTATTCTCGTTCCTCTTCCCCATTCCCTTTCTTCCCATTCAGACTGCGCTGCGGTCGCCGACCACAAGGTACTGCGGAAACAACAACCCCCCTCCTCAACGAAATCTACAACCACAGGCCAGGGCATTCAATTCCGTGAGGATGGTCCCATGGTGTGCGCAAACAAAGCAGAAACTCCGGCAATTGGCTGATACACCCCTACATCTGGGTCCCCATCACTCCTGTCAACCTCCTTCCCGCTCAGCTCAACTCTCACCATTGGCCTGGCGAGTACACCAAATACCTTCACCCTGCCACCCCAATCCCATTTTCCCTCTCTTCTCGCATGTTGTCACTCTCGCTTCAAAACTGCGGATCAACGAGCGGGTATAAGCGGCTGCTATTACTGCAAGCTCCCCCGACAGGCACCGGGGCAGAGAGCCCCGAAGTGAGGAGTCCCAACATATTGCAAACGGGCCCCGCACAACGATCCCCGCCCCCCCTCCCCCGATCACATACTCACCAACCCACGTCTCTCAATTTTCATCTTCAAGCTTCGAACAGTGGTTTCCATACTCTGAAAAGCACGCGGGAAGTACTCTAATAGAGCCTCAAAGCAGCATCTCAGCTTGCTTTTCACAGAGACAGCTAGAGGTCTTTCTGCCCATTGCGACGTTTAGCGAACAGACATTGAGAAGCATCGCAGTATTACAAAGCATGGACCACAGACGCTACGATGAGGCTCCAGATGTTATCAGGCATCAGCCACCGATGGTATAGCACTTCAGCCGGAGTAAAACTACTGTTTGAAAGCTAACTATTCTCCGATAGGCAATTGATACTGCCCTTCGATCACATTGTGGCATCTGGGCCAAGCAATATTTCGTTGCCGTTATCATGGACGACGGCACACCTACGACATTCTTCAGCCCAGGCCCGAAATTCCATGATAGCGTCGTCCGCCAATTTTTTGACGCCAAGAAGTTTCAGCAGGTGGCAGGCCAGTTTGACTCTGGTGAGTATCTTATGATCTCCCTTGCGTACTATTCATGTGGCTTCTGACGCCCTACACTGCAGATCAGATAGGAACCGAATCTAATGGCCCGGATGAAACGGATGAAAGCATATATTTCCGACCGGTATTTGGCAACAGATACCAAACCCTTGACCGACTGCTTCTACCGAGTAACAGCGATGGCGACGAAGGAGCCGGTTACTTACCGCGGTTAGGGCGAAAGCGCCCGAGAGCACGTCATACAGTCGAAGACGAGGACCTAACGGTGCCAATCCTGTTGCATAGGGGAATACGAGTGAGCGACGCGAGGGCTCTTTGGAGTTTCTACGACCAGCGCTTCGAGAGTTGCCAGCAGTCTGCATGTAAGCTCATCGCGAAAGCCTGGGTCAAAGCAGTGGAACCTAAGAAGCAGTCAACACACCCTTACACTGGCAGTGATGCCAAAGCTCCTGACTGGTGGCCGAAGCCTTGGGGTCCGACTAAGGAGAATAGAGTCAGACACAAGGAGCCTGACCATTTATACAAAAGAGGTACGTGAGAACCAGCATCAAATCTGCTGTGTGGCTATACTGAGAAGACACAAGAACGTGTTCATCTACTGAATCATATCCTGGCCATGATTGTGGAGCCCATCGCAAAGCAGCATCCCAACGTGCGAAAACTGCATCTCAACCTAAAGAAGCTGGAAGAGTGCACTAATGAAGCTCTCTCCGGGTTCTTTGGAGAAACTCCACAAAATGCTAGCAAGAAGCTGTTTCTCAACGAAATCTTCAAGGTGGCTAGGCAACAGGACCTTTTCAAGAATGGCGAGATTGGTAAGAACCTCATGAATCCATTCACGGAGCATACGTCTCTAACATGTCCCGCCCCCCTTTTTTGCAGATGCTGCCACAGAACTATATATATTGAACGATGAAAGAATGGTGGATAATCTCTCTCCAGACAACAACGAGGGGCCCTTTGGTCACCATCACGATGACCAAAACATGTCGCCATCGACACGTTCTAACATTACCCACAGCTTTCACCAAACGCCGTCCTCTAAACACAGCCCAGCAATAATATCTCAAGCGGGTTCATTCATGAACAAACCCCCAATGCGGAACTCCCAACAGCTCCCTCCTCGGTGGTCTATGATCAATGACCTTAGCGCTCCACAGCAACCTGATTTAGTCGAAGATAGCTTGCCAGTTAATAGTACCAACTCTGTACACACCCCAAGTACGAGTATCGGTGTTGATATAATGCCTAGCGCTAACGGATCAAGTCGTCGATCGTCGGTGCTTCCAAAGTATAGTCATGTGGTTGGAAATGGGATGTATACACAGCATGGGCAGCCTGGAAGCGCAGCACCCAACGCTCAGGCGAATTATTCCAATAAACAGAATGGGCTGACACAGTCCTTTGTTACTACTGTTCCAGCAACCCCCCCTCAATCTTACATGGGCAACTCCTCTGTTGATACAATGACGAGACCCGGCTACGATCCTTATCATGGTCATGTATACCACGCTGGAGATGTTACTTCTGGACAAGTGGGCCAGCAGAGTAACTACAACTCCATTTCTAGCGACGGGCGAGGGCTTCAGACACCGCCAGATGTGTCTAAAGTAATCGACTCAGTGCCACGGGGTCATATGGAATAAGTCCCGGGCTTTTGTGATGTCCCCTTTCCTAGTTCTCTCTCGCCAATAGAGTGGAGCCATTCTGTCGCTACTTCGAAACCCTCATTGGAACGACTTGTTTTTTCATTCTCTTCATCAATTATAATTAATGTCGGATCGCTCACTTCCATATACGACCCCGTTTCTATGAATATCTCTCGGGTGAGATTTTATCTAAGACAAAATTGGGAGGCGTACTCACTTCTCACGCTTGACACCCCGAATGGCTTGTTTTTCGAATACGCTCTTAGCTGCGGTTTGTTGGGTTGCGTTTTATCGGTGAAAGTTCTTGGTTCCCTCCACCATTGTCCTGCCTTTCTTTTCTTGTCCTCATTGGCGAAATGTTTATCAACGGCAAGCTGCACTATATAGTTGACTAGTTGGCGACTCTAGAGCCAGCAAGGAATTTAGAACACATGAAGAAGTTGATTGAAGAATATAAACAGCATCAAAAGATACCTCGGGTTAAAGAGCAGCTATGGGAAAAGTGGACAAGGTGGGATCGGGTAGAGTAAGGGGCCGTAGAGGTCGCCAGCCTAATCT